GTGCAATTTAATTATTGACTAACTGTTGTATAAATGAGCTAGTTAGGGCTAGATACAGTTGTTAAAGGAAGATAATTGACCTTTAGAGTTTATTGTATTAGAATTTTGTTACATTTGTTATTTATGGTAAATGAGCTTTAGGCAATCTTAAACATAATTTCTAATATATAGAATACCTAGATATTTCTTAGTAACTCTTATTTGTTTCAATAAACTGACTCTCTCCCTATTTTCTCTTTAAAAGTTAATTGTTAAAGGTTGCATCAACTGTTAGTATTCTCTCTTTAAGACTGTATATTAGTAATGGAAGCCTTAATTATTTCATAGAAATCTTTCTTCCTTGGCTCATGTGAATAAATAACATAAAGATGTATTAAATACAAAATCACATTTATATTTCATCTCATGTTCTGTTTCTTTTTTCCCCATTGGCAACTTGTACTGTTGTGCTTGTATATGGTAATACTTAAAAAAAAATCTAAATCCCCCCCCCATTTCTTTTATTCTCACCTTCCTTTCTTCTGTGACAGGATCTCACGTAACCCATGTTGGCCTTGGCTTATAGCTAAAGATGGCCTTGAACCATGAGTTGCTTTAACATTTTGTGTGAGGGTGAGGTGAGGTGCGTGTATACCATGGCATGCTTGTAGTGGTCAGAAGCCTCGGTTGTTGGTCTTCACTGTTCCATACTGTTTGAGGTAGGATCTGTCTTGTTCATTGATGCATAGCCAGATAGTTGGCCTGTGATCGAGCTTCTGGGGTTCTTGCTCTGCCTTCCATCTTCAGTAGGAACACTAGGATTGCAGAAAAGCTAAAGAGTCTGGACCTAACATGGGTTCTAGGGATTCAGAAGTGGTTCTCCACACTTGCCCAGCAAACACTTTACCTATTAACTATCTTCTCAGCCCTAGCCTGTTGCTTTTGTTGATGGGCTATGCATGCATATGGGGCAAAACACGTTTTAATGGTGTACAGTGATGAGCTGGTCCTTCCTACCCTGGATCTTTCAGTTCCTTTTCAGAAGCAGCTGGTGGTGCCTTTACAGTTTCCTGTGTCTTATTTTCCTGTGGTTCTCTTTCTGAAGACATGACAAAGGAATTGTGACTATCAGCACCATCCCACGTTCATGAAAACTTCACATGTTTAGTCAAGAGTGCACTTTCTGAATCTAGTAGCATTGCTATTTCAGCACTGCCTGTTATTTTTTGTCATTATTTTTAAGTGCGCACGCGCGTGCGTGTGTGTGTGTGTGTGTGTGTGTGTGTGTGTGTGTGTGTGTGT